CCAAGCTGGGAGATACTTGCAGCTCTTTCTACATTCCTGTTTTTTTTTTTTATTCTGAGAGTGAATTGTGTCTACAGCAGGGTGGCTCCTGGAATTCAGACATTAGATTATGTTATATCTCTTCACTCAAAAATAAAAAATATATGTTTCTTTTAATGATTCTTCTCTATTACTGTTTTTATCCTTAGGAAATCTGGTTGGAACATAACGGATACCTTTCTTTTCCAAGAACTCTTCATAATAGTCTAAGAAGGATTTCCTAACCAATAACAAGGTTAGCACTGGTGGTTTTTGTGCTTGTTGGAAGTGGCTCACTAAAAAACAAACATACAAAACCTCACAACAAAAGAAATGCACTTCAAATAATTAGCTATTATATGTGGTGTAAGGAATTGAAAATGCACAGGGAAAGGAATGTAATGTCCTGTCAGCTTCGTCGTAACAGGCACAGCACTTGTCTCTGTGGACAGTGTTTTAGTGTAGCTCGAGTGGACTGGGCTGATCCTTTTCTCTGATCCCTCCAGCTCAGGAAGAGCTCAAAAGGTTCCAGCATGGTGTCAGTGCTTGGTTGCTTGGAAAGCCACTTAAGGGCAGACACAAAACTGCAGTAGGAACTGCTGAGGTCCATCAAGTCTTCCTTTTCCACCCCAAGTACTTCAAAACATGCACTTTTTTTTTTTTGTTGTTTCTATAATATGAATTATGGCAAAACTGATCAAATGTATTAATCTACATTCCTGTCATCTTTTTGTTGTTTTAATAATTACCTCGAAAGGTCTGGGGGATAGGGTTTAATTTAGTGAAGGCCAGTGGATTTTATAATTACTGTACTACAGAAGAGAGGAATGTATATATCTAATCCAGTTTCTTACGTGGCAAAGGAAAATGGTGTAAAAATCACAGAATGAAAGTCAAGATTCATATTCTGGGTGTGCAAACACAATATTTTGTTTTGTGGTGAATCATTTAACATCCCTTTACTGAGTCTGCCTCCTATAATATGGTACAAAATTAAAAAATTTCCTGAATGTGTATTGACTAAAATAAAAATAAATAAATTTCACATCTTTATAAGGGTAGCCAGACACAATACAATGGCAGAGTATAGTTGTTTCATTCAATGAGTAGGAACTGTGAGATTCCTTGCAAAGTTTCTCTTTAAAGAAAGAAATTTATCAGGATATGTTCCAAGAAAATATTTTGGACAGTACTTACAGTCTAGAACAGCTTGTCTATAGTAACTTAGCAACTTTTAGAGAAATATTGGGCATGTGATCTTGGCTTGCTCTCATAATAACTTCGGTGATGATGCTTATCATTGTTATTACTATTATTATATTTATATAGCTGATTAAATGTCATAACACTTGGAAATTAATGTTCTATTTAATTACAATAGAAGGACAGCTGTTAGGTGTAGCGATGACTGTTCTTTATTTCATCGTCTTTGAAGTTTAACTCCTAACTCCACCCTACAAAGCACCTTCTTCCTGATTTATATCCATAATTCTCTCTGTAAAATGCTTGCACAAGACTGATGTGTATTGCCATCCATTCAAAACAATACCAAGGTTAGAAATCAAAACTGTTTGAATCTGAGTCACAATAAAATTGCCTAGTCACTTATCTTTCCCGGTGCGTTGGGCTAAGATAATTCTGAAATACTTGCATTTCTGCTCTAGTCTACATGTAGCATGGTCTGTTCTATTGTTTTAATGTTATCAGACCATAAACATGTGAATTATGAAACTAATTGCATACGTTTTTTTAAAAAATTAGCCAGATCACTTATGTGCGATATCTTATTATTTTGTAATTTTTCTATATTTTCTATATAAAGACATTTAAGGTAATTTCTGTCAGCTGACTGACTTACTCTTTGCATTGCATTTTGCTCAGTCATTGCCCCAGTGAGTAGTAACAAAGCTACTTCAAATTCAAGAGTTGTTTTCAAATTCTGTTCCTATTTTAAGAATCCCAGAATCAGGTAACTTCTGTAAATTATAATACAAAATTGATCTGTGAGAGAAGGTGCAGAACAGAAAACAAAATCCATAATTTGTAAAGTATAGGAAAAAAGTTGAAGATTCTCAACATTATATTTTACTGTTTGCCTTCAAATGCTACATAAAGAGTAAAAACTATCATCATTACAGTGATGCTGTAAGTTTGAGTTACTGTTGCAAGATTCTGTTAGCACACACAACTTTTGGAGGTAATGAACATTCTGCAACAAATTTGGAATTCTTATGAAAGAATTTAGAAAAGGAATTAGGACACCTGGCCTTCATTTTGCATACAAATCTTAAATCTGAAATGAAATGTCATCCTCTTTCCCATTTTGAAGACAGCAAGTTGGAATAAAGCACTCTGCTTTAGTACTGCGATGGGGCTCTTGCTGTTTTTTTATAACAAAGAGAAGATAGTTCCTGGTTTAACAGTCCCTTGCAGGTCGCTCCCAGAGAAGGGAAGGGTCACTCCCAGCAGGAAGGCAACATCACATGGAACCTGGTAACCTATCCCTGTGCAATCAGCTCTCAAACATCCTGTCTGACCAAAGGGCGGTTTGTAACTTACTGAGGAAACCCGAACAGCTTCCAGACTAAGTGCAAAGATTTTTCGGATTCTTTTTGAGTAGTTTTGCAACCCCTGACTAATTCTAAATGAGGGTGTTTGGTTTGCCCAAAGAGCAATAGCCTACCAAGATAGTTGATGTCTCCTTTTGGTACTCTTTCAGGTATTTCTAGAGTCTCTGCTTTGTTTCGATTTTTTTTTTTTTAAAGTGGATATTTCTTTGAGACTATTAACTTTGTTGTCTTACATTCTTTAACCTGTGGAAGGGAAAGGAAATTGCGTTTTTCTGTCTGTTCACCACAAACAGTTCTAGAAATAATGGTCTTAAGTGGCAGCAAGAGAAATTGAAGATAAACTTGAGGAAAGTACTCTGGTGACAACGGTTAAGCACTGAAATAGATTGTCTACAGAGATTATGCTGTTCCTAGAAAGGGACTGACAAACTTTTAAGAAGCATTTAGGTATAGCTGACCCTGCCTTGGCACAAGTGAATGTATGAAATGACCTCTCAAGGTTCCTTCCACCTTCCATTGACGATGAATCGATAAAAGAAATTAAGTGTGTCTCATTCCTTTTCAGCCTCAGCAGAGGCTGACTTAGATTTCTTTCCTTGTCAAGGTAGAAGTTATGACCTGATATGCTTTTATTCTGTTGGTTTACTGGTTTATTACCTATTCTGTTTGTGTGGCTTAGAGAAGCAGGTTTTGCAATTGTATGTGACAAAGATAATCATGGTGCTTTGTAGTTCTCTTTCACTTTTCTTCTGATAAAGGATCTTTACAATATGAATGAAATTATAACAGTCATTCTTACAGACTTGAACTGTCATATCCATAAAAATACACCAACATATGTAAGTCCACACAGAAATGTAACAGGAACAGAGATGAGTTTTGCATCCTCAAAATCCTGTCCCTCAAAACTCTGATTAGTTGGAAAAAAACCCCGACTGTTGACTCTAGGAATCTATACTGCATTCTTCCCTTAAAGTCTATGTCATAGACAAATCCAGAGTTTGTCATTAGACCTCTGAAAGTCTTATCTGTGAAGCCGGGACACTTTTTCCAGTGGAAAGATGTTTAATTCACTGGGATGGGGAAATGGTAGTTAAGCCCTTTTAACAGAGAGAGCTCTCTCACGTCCGAAATCCTAGAATGAAATTCTTTGCACATGTTTGTGCATTCGGTGAAATCAGAGGTCTTTGTACTGTGTTTACTGAACAGCTTTTATGAGATATAAATACCAGCACATTCTGGTAAGTTTCTAACAAACAGAATGGTCTACTCAATCCCAATATGGTCCTGTGTTAGAGCAGATTGGATAGTACACTTCAATGATGGGAAATGCATTTAAATTTTATCCAATGGCGTGTATGGTTTATAAATTTAGATACATTGTGGGTGTATAGAAGCTGATTGTATAGCATTATTCATTACGTGCCTTATATCAAGTTTTGGCTCCTATTCTGTTCAATGATTGCACATTAGCATTCTTCTTGATCTTTGGTGCATGAAGCTTCCTGCAGAACTGGTTTGAACTAGTCACTCCTGCTTAAAGAATATTCCTTCTTCTGTTCCTGTCATTAGAAAAACTTATTATTGATAGGCGATGATTTTCCAGTACTCTTCCCAGTTCATAAAATTACAAACTGGATGCCCACAGACCAGCCATGTTGCTGAAACAGCACTGGGGGGTGGATAGATAGGGACTGATGGACCATTTACAAAAGGCTCCTGATGATTACCTTCTCCTTTGGCCACAGGTAGAAGGTTCTTCTGTGTCTTTCTGATGAATCAGTTAAGTTATCAGCTGACTTGCAATTAAAATAATACAGTAATTATTAAGTCAAGAGTTCTGGATGTGATAGTCTAAATTGCACTGACCACAGAATTAGTAGCTTGTGAATTAGTAGCTTGTGGGGGAGAACACAGTTATTCTCTGTCTTCACTCTCACTGTCTGCAAAGCACATGCCTCTTCCTACTACACTGCATTTATTTTAGCCATGTGCTCTTTGGTGTAAAATGCTTTCATTCTACTTTGTGGATAATCTTCCTTAGAGACAGAGAAGTTGGGCTGCTAGGAGTAGGGGAACACCTTTTCTGATACAGTTAAGATGGGTATTAGTAGTAGTATTATTATTATGGTTATGGGGTGAGAATTTTACCAGTAGCTTTAACGACTGATAAGAATAGCTGATAAATGAATGAAGCCAAGTATGGCATAGACCAGGCACACAGACAGAGACCTAGTGTCTGAAACTTGCCACCTCTTATTTATCCTTCTGGTTTTACTTTACAAAAAACCCCCAACAATATCCGTATCTTAAAATAATAAATCTTGCTTTTCAGATGGTATAAATTAGCATGGAAGACCAATATCCCTTGCACAGGAAGTAAACATTTCTCAAGTTGATTATCTTCAATAGCCTCTCACGTCAGGATGGCTCTCATTACAGGTATTACAAAATATCTCACATTGCCTTTAAGATTTTATGAAAACAGGGTAATCTTAAAACAGTATTTTTTAAGTTTTTAAGCCTCTTTTAATTTGGTTTAAACCCTGAACCTGTTTATGACTGAAGATTCTAGCTTGTTCACTGGTCTAACAGCAGCTGGGGAAGGGACCTATTGGGCAAATATTCCAAGATACTTGTAGGTCACTGACTAAATGGACTAAATACAACACAAACGTTGCTGCTGACTTCAGCTGCCTTAAGGTTAGAGCCATGCACGCGCCTCTGGATACTTCTTCCAGCGGTGTTCAGAATGCCAGTATTGAAAGGAGTAGCTTAACACTTGGTTCATAAATTGCCAGCGTAACAGATACATCGAGATAGAAAAGTTTTGTCTTTCTGAAGAATGCACTTCAGGCAGAATGGAACTGCTGTTTCACACAGTGCACCCCAGGAGCTGTTAACTTCTGAGAAGTTTGTAGGAAGGGTTTATGTTACACCATTGTTACAGGACAAAAGAAACTGAGTGTTAAAGCAGATTCTTGAGAACTAATGCAGCAATATAACGTATCACGCATAGGCTTGTTTTAATGTGTGTGTGTAGGTATGCTTGCTTTTTAGTATGCATATACCTGACAAGTTATGCAAGTAAAGACTTTTCTTGACAAATATAGTAATGCACAAATAAAATAGTTGTAAAAGAACAGTTAATGTGTGAACCAGATAGAAAGCAGAGCAGGAGAGCTGAAGTATTAACTTTGTGTGAATGAGTTAACATAGAAAACAGCATCTGATAAGATTTAAATGCATCTCTGTAAAATGGAAAAATGTTTGAGGAAAAAGTAAATGATACAAACGTAAAAGCACCAGCTAATGTAGATTGAAATAACACCATGAATTTTTGGTATTGCACGCATGTAAAGTACTACACCTATGTAAATCATCAGTATTCCCACAACAGGGAACCTTTTCAGAGTGCTGCTTGCTTAGAAAAAACAATATCCAGAGATGGTAGGAAACTACTCATTTGTTAAACTGCTTTAACTGAGGAAACAGGAAGGTAGTTAGTGAAAGCCAAGAATCTTCAATCTCTCACTGCTCAGTGGACTTTGTTCTTACTCTGTAGCCTTGTATAGAAGATATGTGTGCATAAAGACCTACCTTGGAGGAAGGTGCAAAGTGTAACATTATTCATAATAAAGGAGTAAGCCTCCACATCATGGTAGGGTGTTTTAAAGCATCATTTACAACCCAACTGAATGTGGTTGTCTAGAAGAAGGTTTATGCAGGGGGTTGCACTTACAGAATTACAATTTTCATTATTTTGCATTACTTCTTTGAATATCTGATCCAGAAGGAAATTTACAGAAGTTGAGAAAATAGTAACTTTTTGGAGAGGTTAAAACTAGAAAATGCTTCCTGAATCAGTTACAACACTTACCAGGTAAATGGTGAGTTGCGTGTTACCCTACCATGTACCTACATGATTCCTGAAATGTCGTTAAAATCAAAGAAGTTTGACAGTCTGGTATATGATGTTTCAGACTCTGAAGCTAGTACTTGTCTTGGAGAATTAGAAGTAAAATCAACTCTGCTAGCTGATAGCCCAGCATGACCGAGCCCCTGCTTTTTTTGTCAGGAATGCTCTGTTCCCTTGTGTGATGCACGCTGCTGATGCACCACTGATCATTAATCATCCCGCTTTCAACTTTCATTTTCACTGACTCATGCTGTACATAAATAAGGGCGAGATACTGAAGTGAAAGAGTTGCAAGACAAATCTCTGTGCTTCCTAAAGTCCATTTCTAACACTAGGTATATTTTACTGGCTCGGTGCAGTTACTGGTTTTACTAGCAGCATGGTAATAGAGTTAGATTTAGCTTGGCACAATTAATTCTTGCATTCTAGTTTTGGTAGAAGAACAAAACAGACTGGCCAGCTGCTGTGTTTCCAGTAGGCACGAGTAAAGCAAGTCTGAGCGTAGACAGTTAGTGGAACTGGGTCAAAATAAAAATGCCTTCCTCGAGAAAGCCCAGCAGCTGTGGTTTTAAAATGCAGTCTTTCAAATCGTCAAAATATACATTTAACTGAAACGTTTTGATTTTGATTTTTTTCCAACTTTAAATGTAAATTAAAAGTAGTTATAAAACTAAGTGTAACAGCACGCTCAGTCCCTATCAGCAAAAGAATCTCACTTTTTGATGAATAAGTTAATACTCGTCAGGTGTCTTGTTGGCTTAAAAAAACCCAACAAACCAACACGTTGCCTTTCAGGGTATTCCAATACACACCACAAATCATACAACACAATCAGAAAACCAAATATTAATCGCTTTACATAAGGCTCCTATCTGAGTTCTTTCTCATGCTAGATAAACAGTCTTCACTGCAAAAAGGTTTTAAAAGATAACAAAAACTTTTATGCTTAAATGGGTTATAAAAGCATAAAGCCTTACGCTAAATTAAAGCTCTCATAAACAAAATATCAAGTCCTATTTAAAAGAACTGTTTCATGTTGTTTACACTGCCAAGTTGCTGATCCTGCATAAAGTTGTTCTCTTAATAATGAGTTAGAGTAACGCCCATCATCCAAAAATGTGTTACCTTGTAGATCTACATTTTAATCAGCTGATGAAACAGATGTGGGAGGATTGTCATGAGCTCTGTTTCTGAAATCAGAGAAAACCAACTATAGATTTATGGCCAAAAAAAGCGCTTTCAAGTTTGTTTCTTGCTTTCTACCTGATCAGGAAGAGACAAATGAGAAATGTAAGCCCTCTCTAAAAAGAAAGTCCTAATTTAAAGTTGAATTGTCAAAATGAATAATTTTTGAAAATTAAATTCTGCACAATATTGTACTTAAAACCAAAACCTTATTAAATGCATTTATAACCTGGAAACTTTTCCATGTCACATAAAGACAAAACAGCATAAACTCTGTCCTCACAGAACTAGTTGAAATTTCAGGTATAAATTACAGGAATAGAGCAAAATTCCTCACTCCAAGGGAGAGGAATTTTTCCATAATTCCTCACTCCAAGGGAGAGGAATTATGGAAAAAACTTCTAAATATTATGACAAAGATATAGGCTTATAACTGTTCAAATATATTTAGCCAAATGATATGGTATAAAAGAGGTTATATAGGTCACAGCATGGAGACAACATATCTCAGTTTGCCTGTTTGGATACTAGAACAGTGTGGCCACAGTAGCATGAAGCAGGTTAACTTGTCCCTATTCCAGTTTTTGTCACCAGACTACCTGAGCTGTTCAGATATTTTCTTCTAATCTCTGTGTAGCAATGACATACACTGACCAAAGAACTGCCTATTGATTACACTCGTTACTTCTCTCATCCTTCATACTTGGGCATAGAAATTTTATAGCAGTTTAATAATGTGGAGATGCATCTGAAATTAAGCGTATCTTAAACCATTCAAGTTATTGGGTGGAAAAATAGTCCATCAAATCTACAGTAGATTTTATTTGCAGGTTTTAAGAACTTATTCCCTTGCTTTTAGTATTTTTATATAGTTTTAAAATTTTTTTAGACAAATTCTAAACACTTTTCTTTTACTTGCTTAATGATTTCAGATTTTCTTTAAAGACAGACCAGTTGTTTCTGTGACATATTTTTAGTCATGTACAAGTAAAAGCAAAGATAAATACCCAAATCCCTGTCTTGTTGTCCCTAAAAATCCAAGGTGCCAACATTTATTTTAATGTATGTCACCATCGCAGCTCCTTTATCTCCTTTAATAAAGAGGATTGTTCCTTAGGCAGTCTGTCCAGGAGAGGGAAATGCAAATTGTTGCTTTGGAATTGAACTCATTTCCTGCTCTTTGGTCATAATGAATGTAATATCTTTCCTTGGCGTGAAACTTAAAAGTATCTAGCTCCACAGATCAGCTGTTCCTTACCATGCTCCACATGACTGCAGGCCCTTTTGCTTTATCAGTTTTCTTGGAGCACCACTGAACTCACTAAACTAGAGAGGAAAGTTTAGCATCATCTCTTGCTATTTATTTTGTACTAAGCCCTATCGTTGGATAAAATTCTCTATTTACCATACAATGTTATATCCTTAAGTTATTTTTTGCAGTCAATATTTGGTAAATGATGACTAGTAATGTTTCATTAAAATGAGACATTCACTCTTTAGCATGCTGAATAATGTCTTTAATGGATAGGATAAAAGTTGCCCAACGTGTTTGTTTGGTTTTTTTTCCTCTTTGATCACCAATCTCATGAATAGTATTAATTATCTGAAACAAAGTAAATTGACTGTTAAATAACCTCAACAATTCAAATGGTTAGAACAAAAGAGTGACTTTTGCTTAAGGGTAAGTACAGTACTGTAGTATTTCACTTCATAGAATGAAGTACAGTCTTTTGAGTTGTTGAAGATACTGACAGCCATCACAAAAACACTGTCCTTACAGAAGTAATTTTATGCTGCTTTGCCACTCCGTGTACTGCTGTTATACTATAATACAAAGATTATTTTTCCCCTCTGCTGGTATAGCAAAAGTAGGAGTGTATTTGCATGTTCCTTGACAATTTTAGATTATAAATCTTCCTAGCTTATTAATCATTAGATGTAATTTGTAAGTCTAGATTTTTTTTGTATATTCTGAGGATTTGTGTTTCTTTTTGAAGTGTATAAACTTAATCTGATATCACAATTTATTATAAGGAACATATTAATGGAATAAGAGAGTTTTTTCTTTCAAACTTGGAACAGTCACTTTGTGCTCTGATCATTAGTTAGTCTTTAAAATATACCCCAAACTCTATTTAACCCTTTCTTTTTAAGTTTTGAAGTTTGCTGAAATAGAACTAAAATTCTGAAGTTGCATGAGTATTTCAGATTCAATCTTTCTAGCTATGCACTGCAAGATACCTTGTTAAAATACATTTCTAAATAAAATAATAGAGCAGATAAATAGTCATTGTGGATGAAAGTACAGTAATGCTTATATGAAACATGAAATTCTGGG